ACTTGCCAAAGAATAGAATAATATTTTTACCAATATAAATAATGAATTGAGAATTTTCACTGTTTAAAAAATATATTCAGTATCAATATAGTATTTAAATACTGAAATATAGCAATTATTCATCAGTGCTGTCTGAAATTAAATATCAGAAATACATAGATTAAAACACATTAAGATTTACTCCTTATTTAAGTGCCTCCAAGAGAAACCCCACAAATTTTATCAAATAAAATTTGCGAGTTTTCTTTTTGTGGCACTTATTTAATTATATAAAAAAGCACAAAAAATGGGTTTTTTATTACAATATAAAGAAAAGGTTTTATAGCTTCTATTTATTTTATAATAAAACCTGTGATTAGTAGAAGTGAAGGTGGTATAGTGTGCATTTAAATTGAAAAAATAGAAATGTTCAAGCCTGAACGTTCATCTATCAGTAAAATAGAATTATCAGTATTGCAGTATAAATAAGATTATACAATTATAGAACTAGAAGAAAAGTGGCGTTAATAAACTAGATTCACAAGTGCATATGAGTATAGGCAATAAATTTTATCTTATTTTTTTCTACTTTCTTTTTTCAGTGACAAACAACTTGTACTTTCTTAGCAAAAAAAAAAATTTAGTAACTCAGGTTGCTAAGTATAAGAAAATTGATAGCTTGTTATAATAATGCTAACTAACGTAATGTATAATTATTTTGAATAATTCTATATATATAAAATTTAAAGTGTATTGTTATTTATATAGAGTAATAAATTTGTAACTATGGTTAATGTAACCACATTCAATCAAGCCAATCAAATTTTAAGATCAGGTATAACGTTAAATCAAAACAAAAAAAAGAAAATTTTGATATAAACTAGGTGCTTGAGTTGCTTAAAAGGAGTTTATTTAATTTATTGGATTCTAAATAAAATAGATTTTGTATTAATTTATAATAATTGACTATTACTTTTTAATTTAAGTTGTAATATTATAAGATTAGTAAACATGTATAAATGATGATGTTTTTATATTAATCTTATAAATGTTTGTTATTGATCATATTTGTTACTAGTTAAAGTAGTAATCAAAATAATATATCTTATATTTGTTTTGTAAAGTTATTTTTATTTGTGTCGATTTAGTTTGCAAGACATGTTGACTTAATTAACGGGTATAATATAATTTATTACATGATGTAAAATTAAGAGTGTTCCAATTTTTTATTCAAAAAATTATTTTAAGAATATGTGTTATGTATATAAGCCAAGAATATTGTAAGGCTAAGCAGGTGGCTAAGGTCAGGAATATTGGGGGTCTAAATATTTATTTGTCATTTATCACTTATTTAGTTATACAGTATCTATAGATTTCTTTAGTTGTCTATCTAAGGCTTAAAAGACTAGATATTGACTAAAGCTTAAAGGAGAATAAGGAGAAAAGATTAGACTAATTGTATAAAAATGACTAAAGTGTGAGTTAAAGATATTCTTTAAATTAGAAATAAGTCTATAAGAATTAGAGCTGGACTAAAATATGCAAAAGCTATCCTCATGTACTTTGAGATTATAAAAGAACTATCTTTCACTCTTCAAATAAAGCTTCAGACTCGATATTTTAGTTATAAAAGGGATTATAATAAAAATCAGATTTTCCATTGTTGTTACATGTTTTAGTATTATGTTTATTGATTGTTCTTGCCTGTTAAACAGTTATAACAATCATACTATATTTATTTATTAACTCTCTAAACCATTAATATCTTAATGCTCATCTTATAATATTATACTGTTGTTTACTTATAAATATTGACCCTTAATATCACATAATTATTGAACTATCTAATTACAAGAATATAACTTGATTCTTTACCTGATTAATTACCTGTAGACATATTAATTGATGATTCTCCAGTAAACTGATTAATTATCTTAGTATAATACAACACAGTTCTATATATAAATCTTTTAAAACAGAAATGTGGTGTTTATACAAGGAAAACCTTTTTTTTATTAAGTAAATTATCTTTGGGCTTCTAACAAAAGTTGTAGAGCTCATCAAGACGCATCTAATGGTAGTAAGAACATTAAAATTGGCTTGGTAGTTCTTGAGAAATCTTTAAAAACATTTTGGCAACTATATAAAATGTTCTTTAAAAAAATCAATTTCTTTAAAGAAATTTTATATGTAAACAAAATATTTTTAAAAGATTTTTCAAGAACCACCAAGCCAATTTTAATATTCTTACTACTATTAAGTAAAAAAAAGTTTTTTTTAGACAAACACCACATTTCTTTAAAAAATCTCTACATTTCTATCTATATGATTTATATAGAATCACGTTGCATAATTTTTCAGTTCACTGAAGAATTATCAATTAAATAGGTTTTGAATATTTGAATATTTATATATTAGATATACCAAAAAAGGATTTGAATATCAAAAATATATATTCTTGCTATAGAGTACTATCTACAGGATAGATTAGTGAAGCAATCAAAATTCAGCAAATCAACTAGACTTTAGGGTCAGAATAGGCTAAAATTGATAAAATTTTCCTAAATAACACAAAATTTTACTAATTAAATAGTAGTCCATATACTAAGTAAAGCTGTACAGATGATAATTTTGCTGTAATATTATTAGTAGTATTTTGCAAAAAAGATCTGATTGGATCGAAAAATTTTAATGAGTATTAAAATAGCATTTTACAAAAGATATTCGAACTAAAATTGTATATATAATTAATATGGAAAACACACTACTACACATAATAAAACTTCCTAAAAAGAAACTAACCAATCAGTGAATTTGTTCTAAATTAGCTTGACATGAATTCTGAACACATGTGAAAGAAGAAAAAAGTGAAAATACTTAACAAATAGTCCTTGATACATTAATTAAAAATATCAAGAACAAAATTTTACATATAACTAGCTAATGTTTTTTCTTATCCAGTACCATGTATTAGAAATATAGTTGGTAATATTTGTATATCAATATATAATTTAATAAAGTAAAATCACAATTTAAAAAAGTTTTAAAAGTTATATGATATTGTCAAGTTCTGAGATATTACTAATAATATTTAGTAAAATATTAATTGATTTGTAAGCAGTTTTTTTTTTTGATTCTTTAAAATAAAAAGTAATGGTTGCAATCATGAGAAACCAAATAATTTTTTAAAAGTATAAAATCTAATTAATACAATATTATAAAATTATATATTGAGTATGTATAACCCAATTTTTAGTAATAAATTATAAACACTAATCAAGAAAATTAATTGGCCAGAAAAGTTTGTAGATTTTATTTTTAATACTTTTCTAGAAAATTATAATTTAGATATTTATTTGAGTAAAAATTTTTTTATTATTGTAAATTTAGGAATACAAAAAAAATATTATTGAAGATGTATGATGAATTTAAATCGTAACAAAAGGCTAAATAATATTAATAAAAAGTAATTATATTAATTAGAAGATTATAATTATTTTAAGAGACAATGGAATATTCTTAATGTTTATAAAAACTGTAAAAATAGTACTTTTTGACTAATAAATATTTGGTTTATTATGTTTATTCAAAATAAATAAAATGATTGATTTTTTGCTTATTGTTTTTATTATGTTAGCTTATAAATTTGTTTTGTTTGCATTTTTTTGTAGTTATATTTAGGATTAAGGTGTGTTTTTTCGTAATTTATATTTAAACTCTGAAAAAGTTTTTTGGCTTCTGATCTTGATTGATAACACGTCTAACACAACTTTTTCACATGCTAACCCATCTTCTCTAGTTTTAATATATTTTATTAGACATAGAAATTTATTATAATGACATACTTTCTCTCAGGAATAGTAATCATTTCGGCAAAAATCATTATTGGTTACTTAGTAGTTAAAATTTGAAATTTTGGGTATTTCATAAATTCACCGTAATGATCTTTTAGTAGATGTAGTGTAGGAGAAATTAGAATATTTATTAATAAAAATTATAATATAAAACATAATATAAATAATTAAAATAGAGCAAAACTTTTATTTTATTATATATACTTTTAATTTTATAATTGTAATAAATACAAAGTAATGACTAGCATATTGTAATATAGGGTTCAATATGATTATGATAGATAGGTGATATAGATTATTTTAGGAGAATTTATGAATAAGGGCTCAGAAAGTAAAAATAATAATTAAAAATACGGCCCTAAATCAAAAATAATTAAGAAAGTATTAATAAATGTAGTTATTAGCGTATAAAAAATGTAATGATCAATTGTAAACCAGTAATTATAAATGAGAAAAGAATTTTTTTGAATTTAATAAATTTCTTTTTCTTTGTATAAAATTGCTTATTGTTATAATAAACTACTATAATGTCAAGTAATGTATTGCGAATTGGTATGATATTTATTAATATAGAAGATATTCATTTAGCTCTATAGAGCTACTCTGTTGAAACTTCTCCGCCTTATAAATAATTGTGCTAGTTCAAGACTTTTTTATACAATATCCTAGTGCTCTTTGAAGAGCTTACGCGCTCTTGTTGCAAATGAAACAGTTGTATCGATAATGTTATAATGCATTAAACTGTAAAATATTAAACATTAAAATATTAATTTAAAGTAGTAAATATCTAAGGTACATATGGGCTTGGTGCTGAAAAAAAGGACGAAATTGACAAAAAAAAAGAAGTTTTGTAGAAAATTTATTTATATATTATAAATTCTAATAAATTATAAAAAAAATAAAAATTTTAAAGAATTATACAACAAAATTTTATTAAGATAATAACACATTTGTTCTCAAAGTGAAAATGTTTCTATACTAATTTTAAATTAGTCAAGCTCAAAAAAAATTTTTTAAATATTGTAAACCTAGCCCACATAATTATATTAATGAAATATACATACTCTTGTTTATGAACTTCTTCACATTTTGACAACTAGTTACTTTTCTATCTCTGATCATATATATATACCATAAAATCGCTAGGGTTTTCATGTAGAAGACTGTCTATCTCTTCTATGAAAAGATCAAACTTTTATAAAGTGACAAATAATAAGCAAGATATCTATCTATATGAAATTTGCTAGATTCCAAATTCCTTACTTGCTTAATATGTTCTCTTTGTTCAGTTGATAGGCTATTTTCATTAACACTGTCTATCTTTGATATGGCAGATAGTAGAGTAGTCTCATGCGAAGGTTGAGTAATAGCAACTTTCTTAAAGAAAAAATCTTTTATAGTTTTTTGATTTTAATTTTTACAACCATCCTGTTGTATTAAAAATGCCAATTAATAAATCTTATAAATCTGCTTATTGTTAATATGGGCTTGGTATTGAGAAAAGGGATCAAATCAACGAAAAAAGTTTGTGAAAAATTTTCTGGGCTGATTTTGGATTAAAAAAGATTTTTGAAAAAATTGTCAATTTGATCTCTTTTTTTGGCACCTAAGCCTATATATTCTTCTGGTTTTTCATCGCTTATATTGTTTTTCGCTACTCGGCCTTCATTCTAAATACTGAAAATATAGTGTTAAAAAAATATTAATTAGTATTACTTCTACTTGCATTTGTGTATGTTACAAACAAAAATTTCAAAAATTCTCACATGCTTTTGTTTTTTACTATGTTTACTATTTTCTTCTCTTACAATTTGATCATGCTGGAAAACAGAATGTGTGATATTCATAGCATTTTCTTCTTATAACATCGAAGAAAAGCAAACATGTTTAATACCATATTTCTTTACGTATCAGAATCACAATTTTTTTTTTATTTTTTTTTGAAAGAATCAACAATTTTATTTCATACTATCAAAGTAATTCATTTATTTATTGCCAAAACTTCTCATCTTTTAGATAATTCTGCATTTTTACAAAATTCAGTAACTAACGATGATTTCTTTTTATCCTATTAAACGATAGTAAAAAGAAGCAATGTTTTTCAGAAGATTGTATAAATCCAGAGTTAGGACAGAACTACCTTAATTCACAAATCATCACCTCCAGATCACAGTCTGAGGGTGTAGATGGTAACACTAGAATAAATATTTTGAGAGACAGGGTAAAACTACTACAATTCGCAAATCATTACCTCCAGATCGTAGTCCAGAGGTGGGTGGTTGTCTCAAATCGCAGTCCTATCTGAAAAACTTTTTCATCTTTCAGACCCATCTACTGTCTCAAAAAATCAAAAAGAAAAATTTACATCAAATCGGGTAAAGGAAATTACGAGAAGGGGATATTTTAAAATGAAACAGATACAAAAACAAAAAAACTAAGAAAAGGAATAT